GAAGTGTGTGTGTGTCTGTGTATGAGAGGAGTGAGATGATGAGAGTCTCGGGTACGTTCTGACTTGTTTATATTAATTAGAAAGAAATCAACAGCACTTAGTATGTAAAACAACCTCTGAAGCTAGGGAACATCTTTTATGCCGTGCAGGAAAAAAGCAGATTCATCTAAGGGACAGGATTGGGGGATGAGCGGGGACTTAATTTCAATGTGTGTACTAGTTTTTACCTCACTTTTGTATTAGGATGTTATCAATGAATAGAATCTCAGCATAAAGGTTTAATTTAAGGGGGACACTGCAGGGTGCCCTCTTTCACCAGTTCTGTCTGCTCTTGCATCTACGAGCCTGGCATGCCTGACTCTGATTAATGAGAAACTAGAAAGGATTAGAGTCCATAAGGAAAGGTATGTATAATCATTCCTTCCCCTCCCAAGCGTCTCTTGGTAAATATGGTACCTTCAGTATTCCTGGCAGATCCTGGAAGGGTTCTCCCCTCATTGCACTTCTGTTTTCAATGAACTGGGTTTCTTCTCAAAAAATTGACAAAAAATAAAGCTGAAAGCATCTATTAGGGTGGGCGTCAAAACCACAGAGATCAAAGTTTCTTTTCATCCTCTCCAGAGAGCCTCAGACATCTAGGAATTCAAAACAAAACTCCATTGTAAGAAACCTTTTCAAAGCTGGCACAGTGCTACAGCTTATATGTTCTGCACTCCGAAGGAAAGCACTGACCCAGATAGGAGAGCTCCGCAAAATGCCCATGCAGGCAAAAGGGCTTGCATCAGTGGCACTTTTGGCAATATCTTCCTCTTGAACTGCTCAAGAAGAGATCTATCTACTGATTTGCAGTAAGGTTCAGACCTTCAGATTTTAACATTCACATCATTGCACCTAAGTAGTTGGTCTCCGTTCTACATGGCAGAACCAAAGGAGTATTTCAGATACAGCTCACAGCTTTTCTGCCGTAACTCGGACCTCTTTTAGGAAATGATCCATTTTGGCATGTGGGTTTTTTCCTCTTCTAAATTTTTGTATAGAACCTCTTGGTTTATGAACAAATACTGCTTTTCCTTTCTATAGCACGTTCCATTTGAATTTGCTGAGCTTTTGACAAACATTTAGGTAGTCAGACTTACAACTTTTGAGGTAG